CTCCCGCCAGCCCAGCAGCCAGCGCAGCTCCGGGCCTCGCTCCCCGTGCGTCCTGCGGGGGCGGAGGCGCGGAGAGGCGGCAAGCGCAGCCGGGGAGGGGGGGCAGAGGCACTGACAGAGGCGCGGAGGCTCAGAGCGAGAAGACGTGGAGGGAGGGACGGAGCCCGGACAGCGGTGGACACGGCAGCGCGGGCCGGGGAGAGCGCAGCGCGCAGCAGGCGCCGAGGGCCGGGCACCCAGAAGGGCAGCCCAGGTGGTCTCTGGCCGTCCATGCACAGAGCGCCCTCCCCCACAGCCGAGCAGTCGCCGGGCCGAGGGGACAGCGCCCGCCGGACCCCGCAGCCCAGACTCAAGTTAGTGAGCGAAGGGAGGCGCGGCGAGTGGAGATGGGTGGAGCTGGACTCGGGAGTGGGGTCCGGAGGGTGGAGGTCGAGGAGAGGACGTGGGGAGCGGGACGGGGGTGGGGGGTGGAGACTGATGGAAGAAGGGGTGAGTCTCCGAATTAGGGGACCCTGGGAGCAGATTAGGTTCTCGTAAAGCTGGATGCGAAAGCGTACTGCCTCATTCTGTATTTCAGTCTTGTTTTGTGGGCATGACCTGGCATGTGAGCCCCCCACAAAGAATGTGGGAGCCCCCAAGCACCAGGGAAAGCCTCGGAGCTGGAGCTCGCGCCGGCGGCGTGGCGGGGAGGGGGGGAGCGCCGCTGGCTCAGTGTGTCTGCGGCCCGCAGCGCGCAGTCCCCAGGTCCCGGAGAAGCTGGTGCCTGTGAGTTAAAGAAGCATCAGCCCAGGTTGAGGAGGCAGGGGATGCTGCAGGCGTCCTTTTCCGTGTCTGGCCCTGCGTTCACAGCGTCGGGAGGGGAATTTCAGTGTACTGCTTTTGTCTCAAAAGGCCTCAAGCTGCTCCCCCACTCCCGTCGATGTGGGTGGAAAATAAGGGAGAGGAGTGTAGGCGGGAGCCCCTAGGCGGTTTTCGCCCACAGACGCTACCTCTGTGGGAGTGTGTGGGCAGAGTGGCCCCAGAGCAGAACAGTTGAGGTGCCCCTCCCTTCCCCCACAAGCTGAAAGGACTGGCCTCCTGAGCAAGCAGGGAAGGCCACACCAGGGTCGCTGGACAGCCTGGAAATAAGAGGTCCTGGAGCGAGAGAGCAAGCTTGCATTAAGAAAGCCATCAGTGGGGGAGCATAGAGGAGCAGAGGTCCACCTCGCTGAGTTCCCAAAGTTGAGGGAGGGGTCACACCCCACCCTTCAACCCCTGGGCAGAGTGAAGGTGGCCAGCTGTGATCCCCAGTGCCCACTGTGGATAAAAGGGGATCCTAGATTTACCTTAGTTTGGGACGGGACTCCAAGTTAAGTAGTGTTGAGACTGCTGGGTTGTTTAGGGTTTAGGGCTGTTTTTTGGGGGGCGAAGGGGCAGCCATCTGCGAGGTGTGCTGGGGGACCTTGTGCGAAAGGTATCCTTGCCTCAGACAAGAAAGGTCCAAGCTGAAGGTGATTTAAGAGTGTTTTACACCTAGCCAGTCTTGACACAGTCCTGGCGTGTTGGTGTCTCTAAGCAGTGTCTGATTGGATCTCTGCTCAACCCTGGGCAGTGGTAGAAAGAGCATTGAAAGGAGAGTCGATGAGAAGGAGGCTAGGAAGACAGGACAATGGTTAGTGTGGGCTGATGCCCAGCAGGGCACTTGCACTGACTGCCTGTGCCCCTCCTCCTCAGATCCAGTGCCCGAGCCATGGCACTGCCTCGGACGCTGGGGGAGCTGCAGCTGTATCGGGTCCTGCAGCGTGCCAACCTCCTTTCCTACTACGAGACTTTCATCCAGCAAGGAGGTGACGACGTGCAACAGCTTTGCGAGGCTGGTGAGGAGGAGTTCCTGGAGATCATGGCCCTCGTGGGCATGGCCACAAAGCCCCTCCATGTCCGACGCCTGCAGAAGGCATTGAGAGAGTGGGCTACCAACCCAGGGCTCTTTAGCCAACCAGTGCCTGCTGTCCCTGTGTCCAGCATCCCCCTCTTCAAGATCTCTGAGACTGCGGGTTCCCGGAAGGGGAGCATGAGCAATGGGCACGGCAGCCCAGGGGACAAGGCGGGCAGTGCCCGTAGTTTCAGCCCCAAAAGTCCCCTTGAACTTGGAGAGAAGCTGTCACCACTACCTGGGGGACCTGGGGCCGGAGACCCTCGGATCTGGCCAGGCCGGAGCACTCCAGAGTCGGACATTGGGGCGGGAGGAGAAGAGGAAGCTGGTTCGCCCCCTTTCTCCCCACCTGCAGGGGGAGGAGCCCCTGAGGGGACTGGGGCGGGGGGAATGGCGGCAGGTGGAGCCGGGGGTGGTCCAGAGCGCCTGGAGCCCGAGATGGTGCGCATGGTGGTGGAGAGTGTGGAGAGGATCTTCCGGAGCTTCCCGAGGGGTGATGCTGGGGAGGTCACGTCTTTGTTGAAGCTGAATAAGAAGCTCGCACGAAGCGTGGGACACATCTTTGAGATGGATGATAACGATAGCCAGAAGGAAGAGGAGATCCGCAAGTACAGCATCATCTACGGCCGCTTCGACTCCAAAAGGAGGGAGGGCAAGCAGCTCAGCCTGCACGAGGTGAGGACCAGGTCCTCTTGGGACTGCTGTTGACTCCCGGGCTACAGTACAGCCACCCCTGAGAATTCCCATGTTCCTCCCTTGATAAGAGCACTGAGCCCAACCCCCACCCCTGCCTCAGACCCAGCTGCTGTGGTGCCTCCATCCACAATGAGGGGGAAGCAGACATAAAGGCAAGAGCCCAGCTGTTCAGCTGTGTGTCAGTAAGGACCCCACAGGAGTGGAGGAGGCCCGGGCATTCCTAGGAAGCTGTGGGTGCTGACCTCTATCTTCCTCCCCCAGAAAGCTCCTGTGTACTGTGGAAACAAAGCAGGCCTCCTGTGGACCACCTCCTTTGGTGGTGAAGGTGTGAGAGGGTCTGGATAAGGCAACGGAAAACTAAGGATTCTATCTCACCTCTCTCAACAGCTGACCATCAATGAAGCTGCTGCCCAGTTCTGCATGAGGGACAACACACTCTTACTTCGGAGGGTGGAGCTCTTCTCTTTGTCTCGTCAAGTGGCTAGAGAGAGCACCTACCTGTCTTCCCTGAAGGGCTCCAGGTGAGACCCCCTTCCCCAGGTCCTTCCTATATTGGAATCCTGCCAGGGAGTTGGATCGCGTCCTAACTTCCAGCTCAGGCAGCTCTAGGCTTGCTTCCCACCCACCTGCGTGTTTTGCTTTAGGCCAAGTGGGCTTGGCTGAGGCCTGGTCCCTCCTCCCATCCATCTCAGGTCCTCCCAGCCCCCCAGTAAAGTGACTGGGCTGGAAACTTGTAACTCTCTTCTCTTTGTAGGGTTTTTAAGTCTTGCGTGTCACTGCCCACATTCTCTTCCCTGACCATCATGTGACCACCCCCTCAGACTCACTGTCATTTTTCTCCATCTTTGCAGGCTCCACTCAGAAGAATTAGGAGGCCCCCCACTTAAGAAGCTGAAACAAGAGGTATATTTTCCAGGGGTGGGAGAGCCTGCCCTAACCCCCTTCCTTGCCAGGTCCTCATTTCCCCATTCTGGGCATCCGCAGGTTGGAGAACAGAGTCACTCTGAAGTCCAGCAGCCTCCTCCAGCCCCTGAGTTGTATGCACCTGCATACCGCCCCAGCCTGGAGGAAGACAGTGCCAGCCTTTCTGGGGAGAGTCTAGATGGACACTTGCAGGGTGAGTGTGCAGTAGAGCACTTCCTTCATTGAGGGGAGGTGGGGGTGGA